TTTGATTTTGTATACATTTAAAATGTAATCATGTTTGTAAGAGAAAAAGCCAAAAATCTGTTTTGGCCAAAACTTGGTGTCCCTAAGGTGATGCCATGACCATTTGTCAGTGGAGGAATAAAAGAAATGTGTTTGTACACAGTAAACTTTAAAGTTCAAATCATCAGCTGACACTTTAGTCCTCAGTATGCTCTATACGAAGCTGGATCATCAGTTCCTGGAACCCTGCTTTCAATGGCAAAATTGAATGACTCAACAATTCCACAGTGAGGGGGGAGTTGTTGGGTTTCTCGCCATAATAATGTAAGATTTACTTTGTAAAGTGGCCTCCCCATCAACATTTCCCCACCCCCACCCCTCCATCCCACCCAAAGAAATATTGAGACCTGGACAAACAGCAGCTCTCTAATTCCTGTTCCCAGCTGGGAAGCTGATGATGAGGTCAGGACCAAAGCAGGCAACTCAAGCTGAAATGGTTTTAAAAGTAAAGTGGCAGCAGTTCGCATTGAATGAACATTTAAACTACACATTTTATATTATTTTTTTTAAATGTGAGAAGATCAGTGATAGGTGGACAGGTTTTTTTTCACAACTGGCCGTTTTCTGTAGGTTCCTCAGAGCGACACTAAGCTTTATGGCCATTCAAGTGTTAACATTAAGTCTTAGTTCGGGTATTACACAAGGTTCTAAAAGTAAAGTGGCAGCAGAGCACACTGAATGAACACTGAAAATACAAATTTTATTTTGAAAAAAGTGAGTTGATCAGTGATGGGTGGACAAGTTTTCTGAGATAAATTCACAACTGGCCGCTTTTGTAGTTTCTTCAGAACGAAGCTGCCATAAGCTTTATGACCATTCAAGTGTTAACATTAAGTCTTAATTTGGGTATCACACAAGCTCCGGTGACTTTTCCAGCCAAATGTACATTATTTACACGTGTTTTATATTATCAGAACAAAAGACAACAAAAATATGTTCATGCATTTATTTGTCTAGGATACCTCTAATTGCTATGATAGGGTTAAGGTTAGAGCTATTTGAAACTAATTACCGAGGCTATTTGATTGCGAGGAAAATATCCAGCTAATTATATTGAGTACAATTCAAAGAATACTCAACTGGTTCACTGTGCTGCCTGGTAATGTGTGTGTGTGTTTGAGGGTGTAGATGAGCTGCATATGTACATTTCTTCATCATCAAATGAAGGCATTTCAATTATTTTTTTATCTTTCTAGTCATTACCTTCATGAAGAAAGGAGTAGAGAACATAGGTTAATATGATTATTGTTTTTTTAAGCTGTTTTCTTTTAATCCCAAGAAAACTATCTCATTGTCTTGATTTTTGTGTGTGTGTGTGCGTGCGTGCGTGTGTGTAGGTGTGTGTGTGTGTGTGTGTGTGTGTGTGTGTGTGTGTGTGTGTGTGTGTGTGTGTGACAAAATTACTGTAATCATACAAACTGACTGTTTGTGATTATTTGACAAAAATAGCCAACATATATATTTGGATGTCATTGTCTGCGATTGGCACCTCTAAATCAAAAGTCATGGTATTCTACTGGCAAATGGTGGATGGTTGATAGAAAATTATTTAGAATAAATACAGTTCTCCAATTTAGAATAAATCCAATTCTCAAGTTCAAGCATTAAATTTAGAATAAATCTCAGAAGGTCCTTCACATTTAGTACGATTATAAATAACTTAGTGGGATTAAATATTGTAGTTACATTACACCGCATTTACTGCTACAGACTTAAGACTGGATTACCAACAGTCAATATACAGTCAACTTGCCTGGGACTCCAGAACTATGATGGGCCCCAGATTCATCGTGTGGCAACCAGTTTCACTGATTGATTTAGTTTAGTTACTTAACTAATTTGTTTCCCAACATTTGGGGGAATTAATTCTTGTCTTAAGTGCCCCTAAAATCTAGCTTTCCACCTCCATCATTACAGCTGATTTTAGGGATAAAATGTGTGCTTTATTTTATGGCCATGCACCAAACCTGGGGCCAATCCAGGGTTATTAGTTATTCAACATCATTAGGTTCCACTCGTCGCATGAGTGAACCCTAATAACTACTGATGTTAACTGCTAGTCTGAAATGTTAGTGGCAGTCCTGCCTCGTGTTAGTTGATATAAACATGATAATGACCTCAACATCAGAATCATGAGAACACAGTTTGATGTATGTTATTTAAGATCACTAAATAATAGATCTGTAATCACAACAAAACTAACTCAACATAATTACAGCTGTGGTTTTGTTTTCAACCTTCCAATTCTACATGTTCACTCCTGGCAGCAAATAAAAGGCCATGAGTTTAGATGAGGGGTTACTTTCTTTGGTTACAAACTAGAGAATAAAAAGATAGGTGACCACCTCATATCTTATGATCCCTGGGATATATGAGAGTGTGGCTACTCTAAATATTCTGAATTTCTTTTTTTCTTTTAAAAAAGGAGGACTTAATAAGAGAAATTAATAATTTAATTCTGTTATGTAAAAAATGTTTTAAAGATTTTACTCATCATTTATCTTTCTTTAAAAATAGGCCCAGTCATCCTCACACCTAGAAAATTGCATACCAGAAGAAGAAGGAGGTCAAAGTCAAGTTAAAAGCTGGTCAAGGCAAAAGGGAGAAAATAGTTCTATACAAAATAAAGTGTATCTCCAAAAACAGACTAGTTGCAGGCTCAGATAGCTGCCCAGCCTCACACTCTGTACATGGGCATTTAAAGGGAGGATTAGAGAGTATAAAAAATGCAGATGCTCTTATGACATCATTTTAGTGCCACTGGGCAACTAATCTCGAGAGAAATAATAAACAACATTTTAGGTCTGCTATGATACCTCCAGTTGAAATTAAATATGTAGGTGATAATGCAGGTGTAAGGAAATGCATAAGGAAATAATGCACTACAGGCAGGCAGAAGGTCATGAATGTAAAGTGGCATGTTGTTATTTCTATATGGCGACACAACAGCGTCTGGCATTGTGCTTGTATCACAGCCACGAACAAAAGAACAAATCTACAGCTTTATCAGGCTGCGCATTAGCTATGCGCTAATGTCAACGTGATAACATGCTCATGATGTTTAAGCAGGTGTAGTTTGTACCATATTGCCATTCTAGTTTAGTAGGTTAGCACACTAACATTTGATGATTAGCACTAAATAAATAACAGCTGATTTGATCAGATTTCAGTGGACAAGAGCCAGTTGGACAAAAATGAGTGTTGTCCTTGGCCATGTATATAATCGAAAATATCTTGTTCATGTTTAGACAATAAACTAGAAATTAGTTTGCCCTAACATAGCAAAAACTTCTCTTAGCACTGGTCTGACATTGTTGCAAAGGGAACACTTTCAAGTGGCTTTTGCCAGCTGATATTAGAGATGATTAAAACATGTAACATTGTACTTCAGTTAATTCAAATAATGACTTTCATTATACTCCCTTTGCCTTTGTTATATGCAGCCAGTAAACTGCTCTGTTGTCTTTTAAACATTTTTTAAGCATTAGCATTGTTTGGCATTATGCTAAGAATCTACAAAAGTAAGCCTAGATTTCACTTACAGCCTAGAAAGTTAATCATTTTTATTGCAGCATTTAGGTGAAAATATTAAATAAGTAACACATATATTTACAGTCAAAGATTTGAAATTAAAAAAGACGAAAGCTAAGACATAAGCTTGACCGTAACGAAGGAGAAGTTGTCAGACATTTTGTGTCTGAGCATGTTCATTTCACTGTGTATGTAGATAGTTGTTGTCGATTTTCCGAAGGTAATGTGAGTTAAAATGCACCCATCAACAGTAACGTGATGGGATCTGTAAATTACTCCTATTTGATCCTGAACTGCTCCTTTTCATTCTAACCTGTCTGTGTAGTTTTAATAAAGTGCCTTTAGAGTTGTGCAGATTTAGTAACCCAACTCAGCCTTTGTACATATTTAGAAGTTCCATATTTACAGAAATAACAGAATTGAACGGTTTGAAATGCCCTAAGGGTACTTTCATAGTTTTTCTTCAAAGAAGAGCATTTGCATGTTAGCACTGTTTTTAGGTTTCATCACTGCTACCAGTGTGAGAAAGCTTCTTTCTAGCTCATAGGATATACAGGGCATGGAGCAAATATCAAAAACACCTGTAATCATTATAATTAAGTGTCAATTCAAGCTAAGCTAATAGGTGATTAATAAATTACATGATAATTTTTGAGGCTATAGTTTGTACTGTCGTTCCATTGGATTGTAATCAGGCCCACTCACATTAGCATTTTTTTCGCAATGTCATTTTGGACAATTTTCTTTCAATATAATAGATTGGCTCTGAATTCACATGTAGGGTCTTTGATGCAGATTTTAACTTTGAAGAACCATGTTACATTTTTTTAATTTTTTTTTAACTGTTGACCAATTGAAGCTCTCTTGACAGTACTGACCAAATTATCCCCCGGGAGATTCAAATTGTGCCCCTCTCAGATTGGGTCTCTCTTCTTTTTTCAATTTTATAAACAGTGTGTTTGCATATTTTTTTCTGCAGGTCCATTTTAGACCTCTACTAAGAGGTAGTTATGTTACTTAGTGCCCACTCCTTATGTATTTTGGGGACACAACATATTAAATATGCCTCTTCACAATGGTCTTAAAGTGACTTTAAAGTTTTATCAGCACCTCTCGAACACCAATTGAATATTAGGATCTTTACAATGAAGTATTTGTCACATCCCAATTGTCCTTGATTACACAATGTCTTTATGATTTTATGTGCCCGCCATGTGTTGCTGTATTTGTTAAACATAATTTATTGCATTCTTAGGAGTTTTGTTTTGTAGAAACTACATTTTGTTTGCATGGTTTCTATCCCCTCAATGCTGAGGGTTGTGTTTCTCTGTGATGTGGAAATTAATTATGTCCATTTTTGTTGTCAAGACCCTTGTCTCATTCCTTTCTTGCCCCCTCACCTTCTGCTCCTTTCCATGCACCCTCTGTAACTAGACGACATCTGACTCCACCACGCATTGCTCAGTGTACTCTTTCACCAGCTCCACACTCAAGGTGTTGTGGCAGAATTCCGCCATCGTCTTCCACAGCGGTGGGTCCAGGAACATCTGGCACATCACATGACCCTTCAAGGTTGCAGTGTGGCGCTGCAGGTGGCTCAAGAACTGCTGCCGAACCAAATTCAGGTCTTTACCGAACATGTCAATGTTCAGGTAATACCTGGTTCAAAAAAAGTGCATCAGTTAACATGAAAAAATGTACTGTTTCTGAAAATGATAAAGATGTATTTTCAAATGTTCTAAGTATCCTAAAGCAACAATGTGTACTCTTGAATAAAGCTACAATTCCAGCACCTCTTGTAATACTATTAAAAGATACTATGGTAGACACAAGTGCAAGTCTTACATTTTTTTAAACACATTTTACAATAGTTGTCCCAGCCTTAAGTAGCAACATCTGCTTTACGCTATAAATAAATAAAGACAAGACATTTACCAGTCATCTCCAATGGGCACCCTGAAAGGAAAGGTGCAAAGGCTGGCCACAGTAGGATTGGATGCATCATCTACCATCCAGTCAATGTCCTTCTTAAGAAGGATGGCCATGTTACTGGGCAAAGGCTTGAATGGCTGCCAATCTTGAATGATGGTGGCATTAGGAAGGACCCCCTGCATCAGGTCAGTGGTCAGATAAAGTCGGTGGATTGCTGTCTGGTCAAGACGCACTGGTGGAGGAATGGAGGAGGAGGAGGAGGACATAGTGGAGTTAATGTCTCCACCCAGACCAAGTTCAGACAGACGGAGCTTGAGGTCTTCAGCTCTGAAACGCACCAGCAGAATCCCCTGTAGAAAAGAAAAGCCAACGTGAACACAGGCAAAGAAATACAACAGCAAACGCTAAATACTGATCAAAATGAATACGCATAGCGTTTTGCTGTAAGTTTCTGGGTCATTACCGACAGCCATTAATCATAAGCACAGATCAACATAAAGAAAGGGGTTTTAGTCTAGTTGTGTTACTTGTACCTGCTTAGTTATGATGCGGTACTTCTGGAAGTCCTTAGGTCCGAGCTGATCATCACGGGTCAGACGGCTCACTTTGACCTCTGGGTATTTGGATTTGACCAGCTCAGAGCAGAAACGCAGCAGAACTCCTGCCACACCCTTGCCCCTTTCCTGAGGGGCAACACGGAGACCTTCCACCAGCATAGTCTCCCCGTCATCAATCACACAAACGGACTCCAGGGCAATCTATGGAGTACAAACAGAGGAAGATGGAAGACAAAAATGAAAGAACTGCAATACTGACACTGTCCATTTAAGTTATCCGATATATATATTTGAGTTGATGTAATATATATATATATAGAAATATATATATTTTTTAAAATTCTTTTTAACTTGTAAATATTCCAATATGCCCCAAAGTGCAGTGCTCTGTTTGCTGGGCAGTAAGGTAGTTGGCAATAATTCTCAAAGGATTCAACAGTTGATTGGACTAGCATTCACAAGTAAGTAAGGAATATCTGAACCTAGTCTCCATGGAACCAGAAATCAAAGACTTACAAAACATTTGCTTCAAGGTCCCTGGACTTTAATTACTTTAACACATTATGTTTCGTTTAGATACTCATTCTGGTGGAGTTCATTCATGCAGTTTTTACTGTTTTTTCTTTTTGGCTTGTTCTGTAAGTCTGCAGGTCAACCAGTGAATAATGATTTATGGCATCACTGCTGCTCTCTAAACTGTGTTAAATCTGAGCTGAAATAACATTTGACATGCACAAACAATGTTTGTTTTAAAATGACATTATATTGATTTTTAATTTATAATATGAGTTTAAATGTTGGTTGTAAATAGGTTTAGTCTGTACCCTTCTTTGTCTTGCTTTTCAGGTGTGTATAAGTGTAAAATGTATTAGTAATTAAAAAGGATCAGGACATAAACTTAATGACTTCCTCATAGAAGTAATGAAATTCTTTGCCACTGCATGGAGACAAATCCAAGATTAAAGTTTAGTCTGACTTTGTTTCTGGAATATAAAATGTTTTTTCTTAAACCCATGCATTTAAAATATTTGCATGGTATTGACTAAACTTACCACTTTTCCCTGTTTCCGAGCCAGTATAACTATACGATTGGTCTCTTGCAGCCAGCTGGTGTATCTGGTAGGAAGGTAGTCAAGGCCTCCATAGATGTCCTGGCTCATAGCCATGATTTCTTCAAAGTCCTCCTCAGTGGCTACAGCAAATTGAAGGCCTGTGTGGGACAGGGCCTCTGGGAGCTGGGGCATAGTCAGGCTGGTATCAATCTTCATCTTGAAACAACTGATGAGATAAAAAGTGGAGGAGAGATTATAGTGGATTGTACTTATTAAGTGTCCCAGAGCGGGACGCCATTCTCGACCAGTCACAAATGACAACCAACTGGTCGTCCTTTAGGACAAAGTTGTAAAAGCATGGTCAAGAGCTGAAGTTCCTGATAGATGTCATTCTACGCAGAATGTCCGGATACAAGCTGCAGGAGACAAAACATCATCACCTACTCAACTATAAAAAGTACTGACAAAATCAAGTATCAAATATTGACTTAATCAAGAAAAACACATTTATGTTACCAAAGGACTGACAAGGGTGGAGTTCAACACAAATACCTGCATTTATCTCTATAAATGCCTGAAAGCTGAATTAGATTTACGGACAAGTATAAGAGAAGAAACGTGGGAAGAGGGACCAGCAGAACAAAAAGACAAGCCAGAAGTGAACAAACCGAGGCAACAAATCATAGATCTGTCAGTGAGTGAGAGGCATAGACAGACACAGAAATATGGGACAAAACAGTTAACTGACAACAGACACAGAAAGTGGAAGACTGGCATCTGTATTGATCCTTGTCTTTTCTTAGAAATCCTGTAAATCCACACCCTTACCACCCTTAATCCGTAACTAATACTCTCTGATACACACTCCTCATTACAAACCCTGGTATTTCTCTGTAGCTTGGCTAAAGAATTCACAGAATAGACAAAATGTAACAGAGAAATCTCTAAGCAATCAGACATTTAGGCCTTAAAGTACACCATGTGGCTCCCAATACAGCTATTTCATCAACATGATATAAACTAGGTGCTACTTGTGTGTTAGGTACTCAGATGGGCTATGGGTCATTGGAGCAGCCACATAAAATTCCAATATAGTTCAGGCAGCAAAGTGTTGCAGGAGCTATGAAAATCTGAATATTGAAAAAAATCAACAATATCCACCCCTGGAGTGCATAGATGCCAAGGTTCTGCACTAAAGAAAACAAAACAAGTTGCTGACTCTTGTGTGGATTTTTGCATTTAATTAGGTCAGGATACAATGTTTTAACACATAATGCAATACAAAGTAATCAGACAAAATAAAATAAATTTCCAAAGAAAATATGCTTTATAACATAAGAAGTCATACAAAAAAATGACACAGTATGAAAAGATACAACAAAATAGCTTAAGTATATGACAACATATAATAACAGGTAGGGCTGGGTACGACATCTTAGTAGCTTTTGAACTTTCACCAAATTATGTTGAGTTTCAAAAGCTTTCAAGTGTGAATGTAATTTGTTATTTTGATTGTGTATTTTATGTAAGTATTGAAAATTCAACCTGTTTTTGTGCAATATGGAATATTTGATTACTTGTGCTTGACAATTGGTGGCACTGCCACGTCCTTTGTTCACCTGAGGGTGCTCCCCATAAGTTTCTTTCACAGCAAATGATGACTCCAGTTGTTTCACTTCACCCACAGTTTTGACCTTAAACATCCAGGTTTTCCGAACACCCAGAAGGACAGAAGGCGGGCAGTGCTAGTGCAGTAACATGGACATGAGCGTGAGCATAGAAAATTGTGTTCTTTAAAACTCAAGAATTATCTGGAGTGACTACAAATCGGACGACAGATCTTTGCACTGGTGGACAGAAATTTTGTTTGTTATTGGAATACATGACAAAAAAAAAAAAAAAAATCAAATGATACCCAGCCCTAGCTATTTGCAACATCAATGAGATGTCAAAACAAGTATAATGACAAAGCAACTCCAAATTGTCCAAAACAGAGCTAAGTAAGCTTACTCAAAGACACTACTCAACGTGCTGAACAGGGAATACAGTTTCTGCTAGCCACATAAAATGACCCAGCCCAGAAGCAGAGGTCAAAATGATACAAAAGATGATAACGAGGAAGGACTATCGTCAAACTGTTGATCTATAACCTCCCTCTCTATAACATGGCATCACAGCCTCCAAGCTGAACAGGTCCACATTGTGTCATTACTTGAAGGAAATCCGACAGGAACATGAAGCCATTCCTTGGACTCAAAGTGCTCAAAAGCAGTCATTGTAGACTGTAAGACTTCAGAGCTAACCAGTCTGAGCGCTTCCTGGAGTGAGTACAAGAAGCTTTCAACTCAGTGCAATATACAACGACTCTTGAATGCCTGCCACACGAAATAATCAAAGCACTCTCCAGAGTACAGGTCTTCACTTTGTCTTACAGAACCAAGAAATGACATAGTACCCTAGTCATAGTGGGTCCAAATTCTGCTTATTCTAATCAGGTCAGGAAGGGTCTCACTGGACTGTTTGCTATTCAGGTGTACCTTGTGATCATGAGGTAAGTCACAATCAGATCTCACTTTTTTGAAAATCATGTATGCACGTTCTGCATTGGATATAGAGAGGTTCCTAACATAAGTCCCCTTCATATCAGGTCAAGATTTAGACAATCACATGCATAGGCCTGGATATCAGTAAAGGACACGAAAAACAGCACATTTCAGTATGAGCCTTGTCCTGTCTGCCACAGAAGCTCTAAACACAGTACTCTACTGATTACTGGAATACATTTGAAACAAATTTCCAAGTTGAGACAGTAAAGGCTCTCTACCTATGTAGCAACAAGGAAGAGCACATACCATACTTGATGGGACAACCAAGGATAGTCAGAACGCCAGAATGTGCAAAATAGTCATGAATAGGACAACTAGCTTACTCCACCAGATTGACCTCATGTGGCCAGTTGTGAATAGATGGATATTAGAAAGGATTACTGTAACTGAAGGGGTTGAACTAACAGATGGCTACACAGACACACAGGGCAGATCTATACTTAAGGATTTCCCAATCACATTGGGGCCCCAAGCCTTGGAAGACATAGAGGAAGAATACTGTACTGAAGTACCACAGAAACAGAAAATAAGTAGATTGTCATAGAGAACATATCAGTCATCACACAAACATCTGTTTCGTAGGGGAGCCAACGTCAAAGACAAGGAAACACAAGGCCTCAATACTCCAAATTAAGCAAGAAGAGCAATTCCACCACAAGTCCACCACCCAGACAGTGTGCAACTGCTGTAAGAGAAAACAGCTAGAGCTAAGAAACAATCAAGGACAGTGTCCTGAATCAAACAAAACTTGCCCACAGGTACATCCATATAGGGCCCTCCAAGAATGAACTGCTATGTTAGAGTGCAGTAGGCAAGGGTTTGAGAGTGTTTTACTGGTATATCATAGGAGTTGGTTCGGTGGTCAGCTGGTTGACTATAATAGATGAAAGCACAAGATCATGTCACCAGCAGCAGGGTAGAACCCAATGCAATAACTGCACAGATGACCCAGGACCAACCAACTAGCAACCAAGTTAAAGAAACTGTGCAGAGAAATATGTGTGGTGCAGAGTTATCTGTCTTAAATACAAACAACTGACGCCGAAATAGAGTGGTTGAGAATACTTAACTATATACTGAAAGTCCCATGCAGCAATAGCAGGTGACATCAGCATTAAAACAAAAGAATATAGGAGGCTGGAAGGAGAACTATAGAGACAATGCAGGAAGTGAAGACAAAAGTGGCCCCAGTGATGGAAGGCACTGCTGTATGTGACATGGCAGTAGTTTCCTAAAAATAAAGGACAAGCCAGCAATCATTTGACAGTCTGAACACAGCCTGTCATGTGTGCTTCTTGTCTATGTCACCCAACTCTCTTTCAACATGCACACAGCACTAAAATACCAAGACATGCACTTGGGGAAGCACTATGTCAGTCCCCTAAACTCCACAGTACAAATCACAAAGTCATACAAGATCTGCATCACTGTGTGGATAACTCAATAAATACTAACTTGGAGAACAGTTTTCTTCCATCACAAAATAATGGAGGAGATTTTGCACAGGAAGGATAGTTTCTCCTGTTGATCAAACCATCTTTAAAGCCTAGAATATAATCCTAATTATATAATAATTATCCCTTTTTAACACAACTTTTCCACAACAACCCTTAAATCAGTCAACCTTTAAAAAAGTGACAAAATGTTGAAAGCTTTTGAAAATGACATTTGTGTCTACATCCCAAAACAGCTTTTGCCTACGTATTGTGAAAACATGAGACACATTTGCAGGCCATAGCTGTTAAATTTTACAGAAGAGCTCCAAAACTTAATAGACAAGCCACTGGTGAGGTTTCCCTAAACAGGTTAAATGCCATCACAGCAAGAACCTGTCCAAACATTTCAACTATCTGTCTCACACATAGCAAGCGAAATGCTGAAACCTTTGAGCAATACAGTCATCTACATCTGCCTTAGAATTGTTTGTATATCACATGCACTTATTTTAGTGCTTTTTTATACATCAAGTCTATTTTCTTGGGATGTACTCAACTATTTTTATGGTGTGTTGAGCTTACAGTAATAATGTGACAGTAAAAAAACAGATAAACATCAAGTGAAGTAGATGCTATTATTTAGTAAACATACTGTAGATAGTAGCATAGTCAGATGTGGGTGATGTAGACAGGACATAACTTTCAAAGGAACACTTTCTAAGCTACATTTGCCACATGAATGAATGTGGAGTATAGCTGTACTGTGTTCCTGGGGAAACATGATTTCTATGGTAAAATAAAAATACTACAAGAGCACCGTGGAAGTTGCTGCATCCTTTACTTCACTAAAAAACTCCTCTTCTACCCTATCTGAAAAACACAAACCTTGTTCACCATAATGAATGACCTATATATATTGATAGAATTTGGCATTTCTGTTGAACTTTGTAATATATTTGTATAACACAAGCTTCAGAACAAACTACTGTTTTGGCTCTTTCTTTGCTATTCTGCCTGTACTTGGTTATTACCTGCAGGTTTGTTAGTTTGTGCTGTGTTTACAGACTGTTTTGCAGTGTCTTTAAAAGCAAGGATTAGAAGAGGGGGCGACCAGCCAGTCTGATAATTATTGCTTTGTAGAGGCTAACACAGAAATGCTAGACATGTTCCAATA